TTTTTAACAAGTTTAAATATGTGGGTTTAAATTTCGAATTTGATTTTGTGAGAAATTTGGAGTAAGTGTTATTTAGACTTGATAGAAATAGTATAAGGAGGTTGTATATAAAATTTGAAGTTATTTAATGGAGATTTGGACTGGTTTTGAACAAGAATTGCAACTGAAAATCGTGAAAAAAGTCCGTTTACGACGCTTGTATAAAGGTGTATAAGATGTGTTTATACACTCATATACACTATTATACAAGATTATACATAATTATACAAAAAACTGACTTCGTCTTCTTCCTTGCGTCTTTTCTGAAATTTAACTCAAATCTACTCCAAATCAATTCAAATTTAAATTTTGAACTCCTTTTGATATTTTCAATCAATTGGAACAACACCTAATCCAAACAACTAACAAACTCAACAAATTATATTTTCGAAAGCGAAGCTTTGAATGGCCTTCAATGGTGGACTTCTACTCTTTAATTTTATTACATTGCAACCAGGTGACACAGGGGGAGAATCAGTAATGGAGGACGGGACCTTGGAGCATATGTAGAAGATGTGAGAAGAAAAGAGAGTGAAAGACAAAAAAATAAATGAATTAGCGTTACTAATTTACTATGAGCTAATGGCAATGGGTGCAAAAAAAAATTTAAAATATGTACAAGCTCGGCCAAACCAGGTTAGAGCTTCAAATATGGGTCATTTACGGATGAGCTATAGGCCCAAGTGATATTTGATATAATTTTGTCTTTAAATTCTAGATCTATTTTCTATTATATAGAAGAGTCAGGAAGCAAGTAGGTTATAGTCGACTCGCCCCTTCTCACAGAATATTAGTAGAAAAATATAGCACAGGCGATCGATAAATGAAAAACAAAAGATTTTTACGAGTTTATTTATTTCATTTTTTTCTATATAAATTGAAGTGGTCATACGTACAAAAGATTTTTACGAGTTTATTTATTTCAATTTTTTTCTATATAAATTGTAAATGGTCATAGGTGAGGTGACTCTGCTTGCCAACGAGGGGATATATGGACATTTCATAGATACTCCTTTGTGTGCTTGTGCAAGTTTTTTTTTTTTTTTTTTTTTTTTTTTTTTTTGGTTAATTGGACTATTATATATATTATATTACCAACTAAAGTAAAGCATTAGCATTGTTTATAGGGAGATCTTAGATCTCCCCTGCGCTATGATCAAGAGTGTTAATATTACAGTACAAAAATATTTTGGCCATCTCCAAACCACCTCCATTTTGGAGTCAAAATTGGAGAAATTTTGCTCTAATCCACCTGCAAATTTTCTCCATTTTGGAGGATGAACAGTCTCACTCCAAATTTATTTTACACTATTCATCCATTCTATCACTATTCTCTATTATTTTATTATTTTTTATTATTATTTAATCCTTTTAATTTATTGTATTATATATACCTAATTATGTTTATGTAATATCTTTATAATATTAATTTTACATCTTAATTTTAGCACATAATTTTGATAAAATAATTTTCGTGCATATATTATTTTTATGTAAAATTGTAAGTTAATTTTATTATAAGTTATAATTGTATAAAAAAATATATAACCATCACAAAAATGAAAGTTGCAAATATAAAATATAAGATGTTGCTAAAATTAAAAGTGAAAATTGAAAATACATTAAATTAAAAATACATAAAGTTGAAACTACATTAAATAACATAATAATTTAGTAGGGAGGTAAGTCGTTTCCAGATACACCAAAATCATTAAAGAATTGAGTGAATGAGATAAAGGATTGTTGTGTTTGTGGCTGTGGAAATTGTTGATTTTTTTTATCCATTATTCGTTTTTGTTCTTGTCACAAAAATTTGACGATTCGTATCGACAATAGAATTCACATCGATGAGTAAAATTTATTTACTTCTTTGAGTTCTTTTAGTCTCAAAGCTTCTTTTTTTTTGCCTTTAAAGCTTCTTTTTTGTCTCATTTGAATCTTTCATCACCTCACCAATCTGACTATTTTCTGATCGGACCATCTTCATATCATCTTCATCTATTTTTTTTTTTTTTGCTTTCTTCACCCCACTAGGTCGTTGTCATGATGTGGAATCACCTGCAACATCCTCATTTAAAATAATTTTATTTTAAATGGTTATATTATAAAGAAATATAAATTATATGATATGAATATGTAAAAAAGGAAAAAAGATTGGATTTGTTTAATGGAAATAAGAAAATAAAATTTAAATAAAAAATAATAATATAATATAGCAGATACAAAAGAATATAAAAAGAAATATTCTTTTTTTTTAATAAATAAAGAGTAAAGGTTTGAGTTAGTTTACTCCATTTTGGAGTAAAGATTTGAAGTGAAGGGTTGTAGATGGCCTTAGGGTTGTTTGACTAGTATTCATTACTAGAAAATCATTTCTTTATTTTAAATGGTTATATTATAAAGAAATATAAATTATATGATATGAATATGTAAAAAAGGAAAAAAGATTGGATTTGTTTAATGGAAATAAGAAAATAAAATTTAAATAAAAAATAATAATATAATATAGCAGATACAAAAGAATATAAAAAGAAATATTCTTTTTTTTTTAATAAATAAAGAGTAAAGGTTTGAGTTAGTTTACTCCATTTTGGAGTAAAGATTTGAAGTGAAGGGTTGTAGATGGCCTTAGGGTTGTTTGATTAGTATTCATTACTAGAAAATCATAAATTTTCGACGGAAAAAAATTGTCGGAAATTTCATACGGAATCGATTGGAATTATAAAAAAAATATCAATTATATTTTTAAAAAATATTTCGACCATATTTCCGACCAAATCGGTCGTATGTTTTGGCGCAAACGCCCGAAAAGTTATTTCTGACCGAATCTGCCAGTATTGAATTTTTAAAATTCGACTGGTTGACTCGTTTGACTTTAATAGCGACCAAATCGGTCGGAATTTATATTTTAAAAAAGGAAATATTTAATTAAATTTACGACCGAATCGGTCGGAATTTTTTTAAAACTCTACCCAACCCCCGTTCCCCAAAAACATAACACACTTTTTCCTTTCTTCCTCCTTCTCTCATCCTCCTCTTCTCTCCCTCTCGTCCTTTTTCGCCATCTTCCTCCTTCTAGGTAATGTATTTTCTCTATCTCTCTCGTTTCCTCCTCCCTTCTCCCTCTCCCTCCCTTTTCCCCTTAATTTTTTAACTTTTTTTTCGTTTTTCAGCAGTGGTCCCGCAGCGGCATCAAGCATCTTTCCTCTCCGGTATTTTTTCCAGCGAGGTAAATACTTTATTGATATATATATCTATATATCTTTTTTATTGTTAACTTTGTAGTAATTTTAGTTGTTGTAAGATAATTGAATTTTTTATATATGAACATCCTAGCTAGTTGAATTAGGTATGGTTGAAATTTTAAGGATTTTAATTTTTGTAGGTTTATTTGATTTATGTATGGTTGAATTGGCATTATGTAAAATTAATTATATATTTCTATTTGTATGCTATAAGTTTTTAAGGTTCCCTATAAGAAAAACATAACACCGTTGCCTTGAATACGTAATATGACATTATAATACGTTTTCGAATTAAATTAGTAATAGAATTTTTTAAGAAGTATATTCTAAAAGTAATAGGATTACATGACTAATGATATTTACTTATTCAATTTTATATGAATTGGACAACCGAAAAAATAATTATACTAATAGGATTACTTAATGTAATCATGTAGGATTACTAACATTTAGTTTTATGTCCTAAAACTAATAAGATTATAAGGCTAATATCTAAAATTTCGGTTATATCCTTTTATTATGAGTTATTATGCTTAATATTATAAAGTTATTTTTATAAATTATTGTATTCATACTTTTATAATAATATAGATATGTAGGAACTTTTAAAAAAATTCTTTACTTTTTTTAAATATATCTCCTAAATTGAAACGGAGAAAGTAATTAAAAAACAGTAAGGATATATTACTCGTGGCAAAACTCGTAAATACTTGAAGCGGTTAAAGCCGTCGGCATCTTTATCATCTCACCGTTAATTTCTATCTTATCCAACGGCTTAAAATCACGATCCGTGTGATCTACTCTAATTGGTCCAATTTAAAATCCCTCCACCTCTATATAAAATCATCAAAACCCAGTAGATTTGTTCAGTTTTTGCTTTCATCATTTCTTTAGAGTTCAAATTTCAAAACAAAATTCTTCTCTTTTACAGTAAGCAATAATGGCTGGTAGAGGAAAAACCCTAGGTTCAGGAGCTGCAAAGAAGGCTACATCCCGTAGTAGCAAAGCCGGTCTTCAATTTCCGGTCGGTCGTATCGCCCGTTTTCTTAAAGCCGGCAAGTATGCCGAGCGTGTCGGCGCCGGAGCTCCGGTTTACCTCGCTGCTGTCCTTGAATACCTTGCTGCTGAGGTTAATTTCGTCATTCACCTCTTTAATTATTTCATTTTTGCATAATTCAGTTTCTTTGAGTTTCAAATGCTAGGGTTTACAATTCTCTGTTATTAGTTAAGACTTTCGCTAATAATTTTTTTATTTAGAAATTTTCCGTATTTTTAAACAAAAAAAATATGAAGTGATTTGGAGTACTAGGTCAAGTTCTCTAATTTTTAGCTAGATCCGATATTAATCTCTTCATGCTTTATATTAAAGTTTATATGCAGATAATATTTATTATAAAATACAGTGCTCAAATAAAATCGAAAATTTCATCGTTTAAAGGAAGAAAGGGTTTGAGGAGCCAAAGAATTGAGGTCAAATAAAAAATCATAGTTTTGTAAAGTGAAGTCTATAATGACGGGGTTAATATCTCAGAAATGTTTGAAAGATCCATTATCAAAGGAAAAAAAATGTTCGCGCTTCAAATACACATGGCCTTAGATACCATGATATTGGAGGATTAATTAAAAAATGTAATTACTATGTTTCTGATTTTTGGAGGTGAATTTTGGGGGTGTTGTGTAGGTAACATGGTGTTAAATAAAAATGATTTTGGTGGAGTTATTCAAAATTTTTATTACTATGTATCTGATTTTGGGGGGGGGGGGGGAATTT